ACCAACAATAGCAAAGTTCCGGGATTACAAGTGTGTGTCACCACACGTGGCTTTTTATATGAGTTCTGGGGATTAAACCCAGGTCCTTATATTTGAATGGAAAGTACTATTCCAACTGAGCTATTCCCCAACTCCTCTGAGAGTTCATCATTAAGCATGCTTGCAGCTTCATAATGACCAGAGATTTAAAGTCCATTAGCTAACCGGAGCCCTATAGGTGACCATGATGGGAAGACCATACACAATCCATGGCTCCTGCATCTCTGATTCCATAACTCAAAGGTGATGGCCAATGCACTTCACTTCCTCTGGATTAAAAGTGTGTGTCATCCAGCCTCAAGGTCTGAATCAAAGACAAGTTGTCTTCTCGCCTCAAGGTCCGGATCACAAGTTTACCCTCCATTTCTGGAGTATAGCTCATTCCAGATATAATCAAGTTGACAACCAAGAATAGCCATCACAATCCACCCTTTGTCAACTTGACACACAATCACATCTCATGTCATGATTAATTTCCAAATGTAAAACAATAACCAGGTCATAATTATGCTTAAACATTATAACTATTCCACATAGAATTGCAAATGCATTACATATTTAACTAGGTCATAATTATACCTAATATGATATAACTATCCCTCATACAACTGCAAACACATCATAAATTTAGAATAGTGGCAATGATTCATCCAGTAACTGATGGAAGCAGATGCACAGCTCCATAGCCAAGCACTGGGCCGAGCCCCAGGAGTCCTGTTGAAGAGAGAGGGGTCGGGGAGGAAGGATTGTACCACCTGAGGAGGAGTGAGATGGTCATGGTCATGATGGGGAACCCACAGAGATAGCTGATCTGAGCTCATAGAAGCTCACCAACTCTGGACTGACAGCTAGGGAGCCTGCACGGGACTGACCTAGGCCCTTTGCATATGTGTGACAGTTGTGTAGCTTGGTCTGTTTGTGGGGCTCCTAGCAGTGGGATCAGGACCTGTCCCTGGCACTTGAGCTGGCTTTTGGGAACCCATTCCCCATGCTGGATTGCCTCACCCAACCCTGATGCAGGGGGAGGAGCTTGGTCCTGCCTCAACTTGATGTGCCATGCTTTGTTGACTCCTATGGGAGGTCTGCCCCTTTCTGAAAGGAGATGGAGGAGGAGTGGATGGGGGGTGAGGTAGAAAGGAGGTGGGGGCAGGGAATGGAGGAGAGGAGGGAGGGGAAACTGTGGTCAGAATGTAAAACAAATGAAAAAAATTTAATTAAAAAATAATGGCAATGTCCCTTGGGAGACATCCTTCTACACTTACACTTACATACGATAACCATTGATATTTCCTTAATTGATGTTACAACATATGATAAAAAAATTGAAAGAAAAACACAAATATCTATACAAATACATTCTTAACAAAATACAACAGAAGTACTCATGTCAGTTACAATCCTCATTTCTGCAACTGGTCCTGTGGCCTTAGATGGTATTTATCTAGAACTACCTTCCTCTACTACCCATTCTGTATTTTCTTCACACTCTGCAAGCACTTCAGCAGGTCTTGGCTCATTTCCTGGAGGATTCTATTGCTGTGTAGAGACACCATGACCACAGCAACTCTTATAAAGGGAAAACATTTAATAGGGGTGGCTCACAGTTTCAGAGGTTCAGTCCATTATTATCATGGTGGAGAGCATGGCAGTGTGCAGGCAGACATGGTGCTGGAGAAGTAGCTGAGAGTCCTACATCTTGCAGGCAACAGGAAGTCAACTGAGACACTCGGCAGTATCCTGAGCATAGGAAACCTCAAAGCCCATCCCCACAGTGACACACTTCTTCCAACAAAGCTATACCTCTTAATAGTGCCATTCCCTATGAACTTATGGAGCCTATTACATTCAAACTACCACAGAGCCATTCTTGAATAGTCATATGTTGTTGTTGTTGTTTTTGGTTTTGGTTTTTCGAGACAGGGTTTCTCTGTGTACTTTTGGTGCCTATCCTGGATCTCGCTCTTGTAGACCAGGCTGGCCTCGAACTCATAGAGATCCACCTGACTCTGCCTCCCAAGTGCTGGGATTAACGGTGTGTGCCATCACCGCCTGGCTCGAATAGTCATCTTAACAAGGGACTTCAGCATAGGTCAAGGCAAGAGATTTTTCCTTTTTCAAGATTCTTCTACCCTGATAGAAGGTAATAGAGAAAAGAAATAAAATGCATGTCCATTGAGATTGCATGACCAACCCTTATGCTCTTAAGGAATTCTTTCTCCCCACCACACACACCTCATTCGAAAGCATAATTAACTCCCTACCACCATATTTAGTGCATGAGATTGGACATCTCTCTAGCATCAGCCGGTATGTGCTCATTGGTTCCCAATATCCAGTCATAATCAAAAGAAACTAGTAGCTAACTAGGTAAGTGATCATATAGATCAGAGTTGGATATAACAAAGAGATATGTGGCCAGGGTAAGCTTGGTTCCTAGTGCCCCATTCTCTTTTAGAGTCTGACTGAAAGGCCTACCCTTCTCACTGTTATAGTGAACTACCCGAGGCAATTAACTTGTGAACAAATAAGGTTTATTTTTGGCTTAAGATTGCTGCCCAAGATCAAAGGGTTCCATTACTTTGAGATGCTGGCAAGGGTGGCTGAGGTGGGAGTGTGCTTGCGGGATAAACTACTCTGCTCACAAACCAGGAAGCAAAAAGTGTAACTCAGGAAGCAGAATCCCACAGGTCCCTTCAAGGGCATACCCTAGTGACCTAAGAACTGTCAATTAGGCCCTGCTTCTCAAAGATTTGTCACTTCCCTAAAGAGCCAGGCGGGGGACCCACACCCTTAACCGACAAGCCCTACAAGACTCTCATCCCAAACCACAGCACACAAATAATCCATTCATTGGCCAAAAGAAACAAGCTTTCCAAGAATGGCTGAATGTTGAGTGTAAACTAGTATTAATTCAAGGAGGGAATGTTGTAAAGTGGGAAATAATTACAATGTTATCAGCAATGGCAAGCAAACCAGTTCCCTCCCCATGAAGGCAAGAAAGAAGCCAAGATTGGTGCTCTACCTACCTCCAGTCAGACATCTGATAGCACAATGGTTAGTCACATTAAAGTTACTTTTCCTACAGAGAGGGCAATACTGCATCCTCAATCAAGCAGAGACTTCTACATCTGGAGTTATCCTCCTCCACCCTGGCACATGCCAGCTTCACATTAATATTCGTGAACTTATTGCATACCTCATAAACCACTCATATCTCCTGTAGCAATTAACTATGGTCATGATAATAAGGCATGGGATGACTCACAACCACCTAACTCCAGTTCTAGGGGATTCAACTCCCTCTTCTGGCCTCCACAGGTGCCCATACACGTGGTGCATATGCATACACTCAAGCACACACAGACACATAAACACAAAGGAACCTTAAACCATAGATCTTCCTAGCTAGGTGTGGTAGCACACACCTCTAATTTCAGCATTCAAGAGGCAGGTAGATCTCTGGATTTTGAGGCCAGTCTGGGCTACACAGAGAGACCTTGTCTCAAAACAACAACAAAACTTTCATTGGTACACAAGTGCTTCTTGTTCACACCCCCGGGATAAGCCCAAGATGGACTAGGTGACACCATTTATCTTAATCGGGTCGCTTTTATGTCTGGTGCTGTGTGTCATCTAACCTAGGCCCTAGGTACAGCATTTCCATCTTATTTCCTTTTCCTGTTGCTGTGATAAAATACTCTGACCGAAGCAACTTAAGGGAGAAAGGGCTTAATTTTATTTCATAATTCAAATATCGTCCACCATGGGACATGGAGGTGGAGAGTAAAGGAAACCTCAAAGCCCACCTCCAGTTGACGCACTTCCTCCAACAAGGCCATACCTCCCGATAGCACCTCTCCTGAGGAGGCTTTGAGGGCCATTTTCATTCACATCACCACATCTCGGGGCATCCGACTTGGTGATTGTCACCTTTTACCCACTGAGCTCATGATCATTACCCATGATTATTCATTCATTCTGGCAGAAGGGCAACAGAATTGGTGAACCGGCCCGTTGCCACATGGAGTTAGCGCTACCCACTTCATTGTGTTGGCTACAGCAAGCTTCCTGGGATGAGGAAATTATACTCCGCCCTCAAGAGAGAAATGCCATACCCTGCGACACAGAGCTTGAATATGAAGAGACGTTAACACCCATAGCTGCAGCAATAACTCATGCATTTTCCTCTGCCTGACATATATCCTCTATGCGCTGTAAATCTAGACAACAGTGGGGGAGACTCAGTTGTGATCGGCCATGAGGAGAAACCACTTGTAGAAGCTGAGGAGTTTTCCTAGCAGCTGGGAACGATGCCCCAAACCTATTCTGTGGCCGTGATGGTAACGTAGGTTCAGAAGCAAAGAAGTGAAAACCGAGTAGATGGGTGACTCGCTTCAGTAATCCCAGCACTTGGGAAGCTAAGGCAAGAGGCTCATGAAGTTGAGGTCAGCCTGGTCTACAAAGTGAAACTCTGTCCCAAACAAAACCAAACCCCTTTTCCCCCAGTGTATCATTACGTAGTCTGAAAAACATCTTTCCTTTTCCTGCCATGGGCCTCTGTCAGTTTAGAAATTTTGCAACCGAAGGCAAGTTTTCCACCAGGAGACGCAGGAGCGCAACAGCACCAGAAGTGGAGCCACAGAGGGGCAGCGCCCGTACAGCGCTTACAACGCCCTTATCTTGCTGAGGACTACATTTCCCACAGGGCCTTAGCGCGCTGTGGTCGGGCTCTGGGCGCTTCATGGAGAAGAAGCCGCGGGCTGGGCGGCGCGCGAGCTTCTGGGACGTGTAGTCCGGTGGGTGGTGCCCTCGAGCAAGGGGACTTGGGTTTGAAAGTCTTCCCGCGGCATTCCACTCCGGGTGACCGCGGGCTGCGGTGCCTGGAGGAGAGTGCGGCTGGAGAACCGAGCGCGGGGATGAGAGGCAAGGACACGGGAGAGGACTGAGAGGCCAGGGTGTCTGCATGAGGCCTGGGACCCCCACCTTGTCCCAGCTCCGTCGAGGACAGTGGTCTGGGTAGGGGGTGTGCGAGGGAAAAGTGTGGCATAGCTCTCAGAAACTTTTGTTACTTTATGGAATTTCGTGTAACTTCAATTTGGAGAGTCTGGACCCTACAATGTATCTGTTTTCCCCTCCAACAACCTTAAAGTCCATGGGCGGCTTAGTTTGCCTCGCCTGTGTGGTTGTAGCTGGTGCTAACTGGGGTATTTGAACTCTGTAGACTCACATTCTCTCCTTGTGAGGGTGTGTGTGTGAGCTTGTGTTAGACTTTCTAACCGTGTTTGCTTTTGTGTACGTGTGAGCTGCCGGTTGTGAGTTGTGCCCAACCGCCCAACTGTGCCAGTGTGGCTGAGTGTGAGTGTACAAGCTTGGATTTGTACATGGGGTGACGTGTCTGTAGTTGAGCCTGACTCCATGTCTCATTCTGTGGGTCTACTACTGTGTCACATGGTGAGTGTGAAATTTTTATTACATTTATTTATTTGTGCGTTTGCATGTGTGTGTGTGTGTGTGTGTGTGTGTGTGTGTGTGTGTGTGTGTAGGTATTTGGACAACTTTCAGGAGTCGATCATCTCCTACCCCGTGAGTCCCCGCGACGGAACTCAGGTTGTAAGGCTTGGCAGCAACCGCCTTTATAGCTGAGCCACCTAGCTGATTCCAGATTGTGAGTTCATACTGTGCCTCTCAGAGGGTGTTTGTGTGGATTTCAGGTCTCTTTGTATCTGGTATGGCGGGAATGTGTTGGTGTGGTTGACGCAGTTGGGGCTCAACTCAGCTGTGGGAATTTGAGTGGTCTGGGTTTGTGTATAGTTAGTGAGTTGCATTTCACCGATTTGTATGCAACGGATTCTGTACTCTTGGGTGTGTTTTATGTGTATTTGAGTGTGTCTGCTTATATGTAGGTAAGGGTGATATTTTGTACATACAGGAGCCGGTTTGTGTGATCAAGAAGATTGGTCACCAGCACATTGATACGCTACCTGGATATCTATTAGCTAAACCTGTGGGTACCCAAGGGAAAGTTGCACCAGGCAAATCATTTTGCCCCTACCCAGTGGCCTGTGGCATGAAACCCTGGATAATTTCAACCCAAGCCCAGAAGACGCCTCCGCAGTCCCAGTTCAGGCAGAATATACTGTTCTAGGACTGAGGCGCTCATGGAGACAGATGACTTCAGAGTGGCTACAGGGCAGTGGCATGGGACCAGGCAGAGGTGTCTTTCCTACTTACTAGAATGTGCCTGCTGGTGTCGGGGCCCGGGGCCGACTAGGGGGTCTGGTGAAGGGTGGGCAGGGATCCAGATTGGGAACTGAGGGGTTTCTGAACCACAGAGCCACCAAGTGCCTGGATGTCTCTAGACACCAGGAGAAGAGGAGAGAAGACAGGAAATGAAGGAAACTAGAGTTTGCTCAGAGGAGGGGGTTGTGGTGGGCTCTTCAGGACACACAGCCAGGCATTGCAAAGAGGGATCTGGGAGCCCCTGCGGCATATTATTCTAATGAGCCAGGAGGAAATGGGAGGAGTCTTCCCAGACTTTAAACCGCTCGGTGGGGAACCAGAAGAACCAGTTAGTCGCTTGCTTTGATGGGTCTTAGAGGGATATTTTAGAGAGAGACCCTTTAGGGAGTTAGACTATGTCCGGAACCGTGGGGAGTTCAGGGAGTATTTGGGGCTCCACACAGGACACGTATGAAGATTCCTGGATGAGAAGGGTGCTTAGGAGAAAGTTTTGAACATCTGCAGCAAGTAAGTATGCATTAGTGCTCAGTTGTGGGTGAGGGCAGGATGCATCACTGGATGGGACTTGGTACATTGGAACCCAAATGAGGCTGAAGTCGGCCTTAGAGTCAACCAGAGAGCAGTCTTCCATCAGGAGGGTGACTGGGAATTTTAGAATGTACTTCTGTCGATGACATGTCCACACCTGAATACGCTCGGAGGGGATCTCAGCGTTTGTAGATAGAGGCCAGGCTGAGTGGGCAGATTCCTCAATTTTCTTGGCATATAACTGTGTGTCTGTGTGCTAGGGTGGCCTCGGTTTTTCTCTGAAAGATGTGTTCCTGGCACCTCAAGTGTGGCTGGATTTTTCCCAAGTCTGAAGGTGTATCAGCGTGTATGTGTGAGAATCTACCACGGGTCTCAGTGTCTTAAAAAAAAAAAAAAGCCTGCAAAGTTGAGGGTGTGTTCAACAATTCCATTACTATTGTTGTTGTTGTTGCTATTATTTTTGTTGGTGGTCGTATTTCTCTTTGATAATTTCACATGCGTGTATAGTGCATTTGCTAACAACCCTTACTCCCTGCCCTTTTTACATCTCTCCCAGCTCCCCCGACCCCTCCACCCCATAACAGGTTCCTTTCTCACCTTTATGCCTTTTTGTTTTGTGATCCACTGACTTTAACCAGGGCCGGCTGTGTGGCTGCAGGTTTGGAACGATCCGCGGGAGCCTGGTGGGCTCACCATTTGGTATACAACTGAGGGCAGTGACTCTTTCTTCCCCAGAATCCATTAGGTGCCATAGTTCAGTGGGGAACCTCTCTCTAATTCGCGATGGCTGCTGGTCACCCCAGTCTGTAACCTCAGTCTTGTGTGGTGGCTACGAATTCTTGAAAGTACAACATTGTAAAAATAACGAAGTGTGTCTTTGTGAGTAGCAAAGTTCGGGCCAGTCTGTAAAGGGGGTCACCACATGTTGGAGGGCATTTTATGTCTGCTGAACCTGCCAAGATCCAGTCTCTGCTGCCTAACCACCATTCCTGGGTACTGAGCCCTGATGCTTCTTCGGGGCAGAAGCATAAAACTCGGTGATCCACGGATCCTTTTTTTTTTTCAACAGCAGTTTGCTTCTTCCAGGAGGTCGCACTCACAGGGAAGGAGGGGAGGGGGGAGGGGGGAGAGCATGGCCACGTGTGGCCTAGCTGAAGACCTCGACGATAGGGACACGGTGCGGGGGTGGGGTGGGGTAGGGTGTGGGGGGGAGTAGGGGGGATGGGGTGGGGTAGGGTGAGGTGGGGAGGGATGGGGGTGGGGTGGGAAGCTGAGGTCAGAGTGGAGAAAGAAACCCCCCAGGACCCTGACGCTCGAGAAGCACTAAAATTCAAACCAGTGCACAAAAAGCGTATCCTCCATCTTGGGCATTGTTCAATTACTTGAAACACTGGGCCTTCATATTTTTAAAAACCTTTTTTTTTTTTTTAAACTTTTTAAGTAGGTATATGTGTGTGTCACGGGGAGCTCTGTCTGTGCATGCGTGAGCACAAGTGCTCACGGATGTCAGATCCCCCCTAGAACTGGCTGTTGTGGGCAGTTGCCAGCCACCCTCTGTGCTTGCTGGGAGCCGGACTCCAGGACCTCTGCAAGAGCGACTGGTGCCCTTAACCACGGAGCCATCTTCCCAGTCCTTGAATCCCCATGTTTAATAATTTAAGAAATATTTTTATTTATTTATTTATGTGTTGGTTGGTGTGCGTGTGTGCGCACATTCTGTAGCCCTCAAGTGTCATCCTCACTTTTCATCTTCTTTCTGAGGCCGGCCGTCTCTAGCTCGCCACTGTGCTGTGTGTAGCCTAGGCTGGCGGGCCTGTGAGCTTCTTGGGCGTTGCCCGACTGTGTCTTATTTCGCTGGGGAAACAGACTAGGACAGCCGTGCCAGCCCTTTTACCTCCCTTGTGGGAATCTGAACTCCAGTTATCAGGCTTGCATACGTGGCAAGCGCTTTGACCCACCTCGCTGTCTCCCTGACCCTCTCCACCCATTTTTGTTCTCGTTTTGTTTGTTCGTTTGTTTTGTCTTTGGGTGGAAAATATAAAAAGGTCAAACAACCAGCCTAGTGTTCAAATTAAATACAGGACAGTTAAAATACAGGACACCATTTACATTTGATTGCAAATAATTTTTAAAATAATTTTCAAGTATTATATGGGGTATATCTATAATTTTTAAGCTAGTTATTAAATACATTTTTAAAAAAATAGTTCCTTGGGGCTGGGACGTGACAGCGTCCATAAAATCCCTGACGTGCAAGTCTGAGGAACCCGGGTTCTACCCACACAAAACATCAGGCATGTAATCCCAGCACTGGAAAAGAGGAGCTAGGAGGCACCCAGGGAGTCCTTGGCCAGCACATCCAGCTCAGTAAGTGGATTCTAGATTGCAGTGTGAGGCCGTTGTTCCAAAAACAAGATGGATGGCTCCTGAGGAATGACGCGATGTAGATAGACCTCTGGCTTCTACATGTACACGCATACACACGCACCCCCCCCCACATATGAACATACACACACACATACACAACACACACAATACACATACACACAACACACACATATTCTTTTCCATAGGCATGCCCCAAGTACTATTTGGGATGTTTCTATAATTGAAAATTGTTCTTTGCTTATCTGAAAGTTAGTTTTACTGTATTCCATGAGTTTTTATTTACCAAATCTGCCGACCTGGTTCCCTAAGGTCTCACAGCTAAGAGTGGTCAACCGGGAATCACCCTCCCTTCATCCCCAGAAAAACTGACTCCATTACACACCTCTCCACTGTGTCCTCGGGCTTGTAGTAATACCTAGAGAGACCGGGAACTTGAGCACAGCGGAGTTTGATTGACATCCTTACTACAGAGCAGGCTTCTCCTGGTGCCTTGTGTTGAGGGGTACCGGGAACCAGCCATCTCCACAGGTATCCTGTAAAGGAGTTGTATAACACCCTCATTTCAGAGTCCGTGGAACCTGAGGAGAAGAGTCATTTACTCAAGGTCCAGGTGAGGAGTATAAGTATTTTTGTTTCTTTACTATTATCACATACAACGCTGGGATGTAACTCAGTTGGGAGAGCGCTTTAGCCTAGCATGCAGGGAGCCCTGGGTTTTATCCTTAGGACTGAAGAAAGTAGGCAAGGTGACGCATGTCCGTGTTCCCAGCTCGTGGGAGGCGAAGGCAAGAGAATCAGAAATCCAAGGTCAGCCTTGGCTATATATCTAGTTCAAAGCCAAGCTGGGATACCTGAGATTTTTGTCTTAAAGAAAAAGAAAAGTAGGAGGGGGTGGTCTGTGGATAGCATGGGGAGTGAGTAGAAAATTTCTTAATAAAGGGGAAAAAATTGGCACCCCCCCAAAAAAAAGAAAGAAAGAAAGAAAAAGAAAAGTAGTGGGGGCGCGGGGTGAGGGGAGCCATCAGAGAGTTAGTTACTAGGGAAATAGCCAAGCAGGTTAATCACATAAAAGCCAGGTAGGGTGGGGTGGCCTACGTGTAATCCCAGTGCGTGGGAAGAGGAGACAACCCCCAGAGAAAGCTGGCCAGCCTGACTAACTGAAAACGGAGGGTTTAGTGAAAGTCCCTGCCTCAGCATATAAGATGGGGAAGAATCAAGGATGATGCCTGATGTCTTGTGAAACCTTGGGGCTCCACGGCACATAGACACAATGTGCACACGCACTCCCTCCATGTGCACCTCCCGACCACACGAGAGCATTCATGCACACACACATACACACACACACACACACACACACACACACACACACACGTGCTTGTGCGCAAAAAGAAATACCTAAGAGGGGTTACCCCATAAAGATGTGAGCATTTAACTCACAAGTTTGGGGTCTAAAAGCACACACACACACACACACACACACACACGCTTGTGTGCAAAAAGAAATACCTAAGAGGGGTTACCCCATAAAGATGTGAGCATTTAACTCACAAGTTTGGGGTCTAAAAGCACACACACACACACACACACACACACACACACACGTAGTCAGGCACTCAGCCAAAAAAAAAAAAAAAGAAAGAAAGAAAGAATTATAGAGGATTGCATGATGGGGCTCCACCCAAAGCTAATCATTCCCGGTGGAGGCCCCATCTCTAAACACTGTGGTCAGATTAAGTTTCTACTCTGTGAATACCGTTAACCCAACACATTGGGTTTAAAGCTCCTGCGTGAGTCCAGGGAGGGCTGGGGACAGAGCTGGGATTTGGACCTGGGCGTTTAAATTTATCACTTTAGAACGGGATGAAAACAACGTGGGCATCTGGATGCTTACTAAGAGCTGTCTTTACTGAGTACTGGCTGTATTCCAGGCACTAGAAGTAGATATGATTTACAGTTGAGAGTTTCCCTCATCGCTTTTACGTCCATAGTGATCAATCTCAGAAGCGATCCAAGAGAGAATCCCCAAGGAGTTACGGTATTTCTTTGAGAATGCAATGTGCCGAGGTAAATTATGGGCATATTCAAGGCTGAGGCAAAGGGAAAAGATTTATTAGGAGAAAATGGAGAGACTGGGGACTGAGAGATGGCTCAGCAGTTAAGAGTGTGCTTTCTTCTCTTGTGGGGGATCTTTCCCTGTACCCACAAATAGGAGTATCACAAATGCCTGTAACTCCAGCACCCTCGGTGGGCACTGCGTGCACATGAATACACACACACAAATAAATAAATAGTAAATAAATAGAAAGTAAGAAAGAAAGAAAGAAAGAAAGAAAGAAAGAAAGAAAGAAAGAAAGAAAGAGAAATTGATGAATGCTGCTTAGATACAAAGCTCATTGGTTTTGAGACCTGAAGGATCAATTGGCACCAGCTCATTGGTAGAGAAGCCATCATAGAAAAGTGTCCTGCCAGAGCATGTCAAAATGCTGAAGGTAGAATTTGTTACACAAATATGTGCACTCATGCAAAGTGTGTAGGTCCTGGGTGTGTGTGTAAGAAGGAATTTCTCATGAAGGTCCAGAAAAATCATCTAGAAAGTGCTTGTCTCAGCCAGCAGTCATAAATTCTTGCTGTAATTTTTTAAAATGTGCTCGCTCTTTGTGTATATGTACATGTGCCTCCTGCTTGTGTGAATGTGTGACACACCCATGCAGTGCCTGTGGTGACCAGAAGAGGTCATCAGATCTCTGGCGCTGGAGTTACTGGCGGTTGTGAGCCCTTCTGTGGGCTGTGGGAACTGAATCCAGTTCTTCTGGATGAGCAGTAATTACATTTAACTGCTAAGCCATCTCTCCAGCCTTGAGTTCTCTCTTTTTATATAACTTCCTGGCTCTCACGTTGGCTACGTGGGATGAAAGATTTTGTGTAGGTAGCAGCAAATTTCACAGTTTTCCTGCCCTTTCTTTTCTGTAGGCTGGGCAGGCTTTGAACTTGGGATCCTCTTCAGCCTCCCGACCAGCTAAGATTAGAGGCGTGAGCCGATCCGCCAGGCTTCTTCGACCTTTCTCTGGCTCTTTTTCTTTTTCGCCTTTATTTGCTCATTTGTTTGTTTTGTGTGTGTGTGTGTATGTGTGTGTGTGTGTGTGTGTGTGTGAATAGGTCGGAGTACACCTTGCAGGAATCAATTCTCTTCCATCATGTGGGCTCACCAGTATCGAGTTTATGTCCCCAGGCTTGATGGCAGGAATTTTTACCTCATCCATCCACTTCCACCTTCTCTTCAAAAGGACCCTCCTAGGGCCATCAGGATGGCGTGGTGGGTAGGGCATTTGCTACCTAGCCTGGCGACCCCAGGACCTTCACATGTGGGAAGAAAACACTGATGCCACACAAATGATCTGGCACTCCTCAAAAAAAAAAGTTAAAAAATACTTTAAAAAGAAGTAGGGCCCCTGGCTACCCTTGCCAAGCATGGCACACACCAGACGCTCTCCACTGATCACCTCTTTGACCTTCTAGGGGAGAGGCCTCGTTGACATTGCTTTCCTATTAGGGACATGGAGCCTGAAGACATTCCGTCCCCCACCTGAGGCCGCCGAGCTACAGAGTTAAGGATTTAAACCCAGACCGTCCGGCTTCCCTAACCCTCACCTAGTAGTCCTACCTGTATTTCATACCATGCGGTACTTCATTCTCTCGTCATGAAGAGGAAGAAGGACACAGAGGTGAAGAGTAAAACCTCAGGTACTAAAGGTAAGAGACCCGTGAATGCTTTCAGAAAATGCAGGTTCGTATAGGATGGACCTTCTAGGCCTGACCACGGATGGCGAGGGTTTAGACACGAGACCCTCCCTTGCCCCCAGCATCTGCTCTCAGAATTCTCTCCGGGTAGTATGTCGGTTATTTGTCTATTGCTGCGATAAAACACCATGGCCAGGGCAACTAAGAGATTTAGGTGAATGAGTGCTCCCTGGGTAATTCTTCAGCGTTCTCTCTGTGTTGGTAGGACACTTTCAGAGTCAAATGTTGGGATCGAGCAGTACAACCTTTCTTAAAATTTTGAATTACAGTTTTTTTGTTTATCCACCCCCCACCCCACCCTGTGGATGTATGATGGTAGTCAGAGGCTGACTTTCTGAATTAGTTCAGTCTTTTTACCGTGGGGGTCCCAGGGATCAAACTCGGGTCCTCGGGCTTAGGAGCCGGTGCCTGTTACCCACTAAGCCATCTTGTTGGCCTGGCACAATGATGTCTAATGTGCAGAAGACGTTACAACTAAAAGTAATATTACTTCTCGTTCCTCAGCAACCTAGATCTTCCCCTGGAGGGAGTGCTTTCTGGCTTCTTATGCTGCCCAGAAAGTGCCACATTCATAACCAACTCTTTGTGTATCCATTACAGGTGTGAACTATCCATTTGTGTATCCCATTGCATGTGTGAACTATCCATTTGTGTATTTACCCATTGCATGTGTGAACTCTCCATTTGTGTATCCATTCCACGTGTATCCACATGTGTGGAAAAGTATGCATAGATGCTTTTAGTATCTATAGTATCTATAGTATCTATGCATAGTTTTTCACACATGTGGTCGCCTCTACTATGGGTACCACGCAGGGGTTTGGTTCACTTTTGCTAGAATTGCTCTGAAGACTCACATACCCGCCCAGAATGTAGGGTAGTGCACAGTACACATCAGCGTTTGTCAATTGCATCCCCATTGAGGGTTTATTGTGAATGGGTTTTCCTACTCTTAGAAGCCAGAGTGGCCTCATGAATCCTTCCTCCTCCACCAGCCACACCTTCACCGAATCCTGATCGGACACCAAACCAGCCCCCTGAAAAGAAGCGAAAGATTCCAACCACCTTGCTGCCAACCTGGTACAAGGTAAGCTGTGGGTTTCTCCCTTTGACCGGAAGTTAGCTTGGTCTGGAAAAGGCAAGGACATTCCCACCTTCCTGCTCAGCTCAGGGGTCTGCCCTGGTTGTACATACATCGTACCTGCAAAGGACCACCTCATGGAGGAAGGTTTTTCTAAGAGGTGCGCCCCTCTTTCCTAATTTCTGCTCCTGATAGGATGACACCAACGTCGTAATTTTCTTCCTTCTCTTTCCTTAAGATTTATTTTTAATCCTGTGTATGTGTGTATATATGTGCATATGAGTGCAGTGCCCTGGAAGCCAGAAGAAGGCATCAGACCCCCTAGAGCTTGAGTCACAGGTGGTTGTGAGCTGCTAGGCACGAGTGTTGGGAACTGAACTCTGGTCCTCAGCAAGAGCAGTTGAGCACTCTTAACCACCTGGTTATCTCTCGGGCCCTTGCTTCATTTTCTCTATAGCAGGTATCGCCACCTGGCAATACATTCTATTTTTAACTTGTTCATCACCCCTCTGCTCTTTCCCATCTGTGAGGGCAGGGGCCTTGTCTTCTGTGGACTGGCTGACACATTCCCCTATGCCCAGGAACAGATGTGATGAGTGGTGGAGACAGAAAGGTCTTGATGGTGGGGCGGGGGGTACACTTTCAAGGGCAACGCTAATGCAGATTGTCCTTTGGGGGTGAGAAGTGTATTAGTTCTGTAGATAGATAGCAGCATGGCAGGTCCCCTGAGAAGAGTTCAGACCCAAGAGTAAGGGCGGGGGGCTTCTTATAGGTCTCAGAGGAAAAAGGAAGTTTTACAGCTTGAGCCCACATCCAGGTAGCAGGGGGAGAGGAGGGAATTCTGCAACAGGAATGTGGGGGTACTAGAACGTCAGGGAAGAGGGGCCCATCTCCTTAATTTGTGCCCGTTACACTCGTGGCTCTCTGGTGTCTCTTAGTCTGGCAGCCTGAGGTCTGTGAACCTCCTTGGGGAAGTGAGAATGATGCCCACCATTCTCCTGGAATCGGGGTACCTTGGGAGTTGGTTAGAGGCTGGCAGACAGGCTCTCCCTCAGGAGGGGGCTTGCTCTTTCCTTTACAGAAGAAAGAGGCCTCTGCAAGCGGACCTGGCCTGAGCAGCCCTCTGGTCTGGGTTTTTAACAAACACTTTATATGTCTGGGCTGAATGGGTGATGGACAACGCATGAGTGCATGAATGAAGGGGGAATTAGCGAATGGTTCTTCTGAGGCAGTCAGCCTTGGCATAGTCCACCTGGAGTCCACATCTCCTTCTTATGCTGGCGCTTCTGATTTTTCTTTGGGGATGCCTTGTCTTCCAACCACTTCAGACGAAGCTGATATTTTCTTTAAATTCTTTTAAGTTAATGACCTTCATTATGTTGTCCAAGCATTTAATTTAACATCCTTTTCTTTGGCAGTTTCACACATGTATACTCTATCATGGCTCTATCCATACACACACACCCACTGTCATCTCTTGCCCCCCCCCCAACCCTCCTATGTCCCATCTAGCACCCCCCTCCTATTTTCATATCTTTTTTTTTTTTTTCTGCCCAGGAGTGGAATTAAGGTTGGTAGCATTAGCACGGGTGTGGGGTTGTCTACTGGAGTATGGGAAATTTAGCAGGGGTTATACCACTGAAGAAAATGACACTCCCCTGGCAAACACTGACCCCTCCCCCTGTAATTATGGGATGTTGATGGGCCTACTCTTGTGCAGGTATCCACAGCTGCTGTGCGTTCATGAGTACAACGGCCATGCCATAACCAGAAGACAGCATTTCCCAGCATTCCTCTTCATCTTCCAGTTCTTACCTTCTTTCCACCTCTTCTTCTACAGTGTTCCCGGGGCCTTGGATGGGGTGATGTAGGGAGAGGTTGGTCTGAACCTCACCCCACTTCCAGGCTTGCTCGGGCGATAGTGATTGCTTCACGGCTGGGCATGTGACTCCGTCCTGACCAGTGAGAACTGGTCTGGAGACTTGCTTTGACCTCAGGGTTGCTTAAACTCCTGGGACAGAATCCTGGAGGGGCACTGTGGCAAATGAGAGTTCCAGAGGAGAGATGGGGAGAGATGGGCAGCCATCAGCAAGTCTGAAGTACCCGGAGGCTCACATGGGCTTCTGCTCAGCAACTGGAGGACTGGACCGTCTTTCCTATTAGCAGCAACAACACACACACACATATACATACACAATGCATTTACAGAGATACGCACACATGTACACACATACATATATACATACATACATATACACACCCACATATATATACACACCATACATATACACATACACACTACATACATATACATACACAGAGACATACCCACTATACACATACATATACACATATACCACATACACAGAGACATACCCACTGTACACATATATATACACATATACCACATACACAGAGACATACCCACTGTACACGTACATATACACATACACCATATACACAGAGACATACCCACTGTACACGTACATATACACATACACCACGTACACAGAGATTACATACATATACACATATACATACACAGAGACATACACATACACCACATACACAGAGACATACCCACTGTATACATACATATACACATACACCACATACACAGAGATTACATACATATACACATACACATACACATACACATACACACTATACACATACACAGATACACTATACACATACCCAAATACACATATACCCACATACTACACATACATATACGAATATACATACTACACATACACGCATACATACACATATACAGACTACACTCATACATATACATACACATACACATTGGACACATACATCAACACATACACATACATAACCACTGTGTATACATACACATATACTACACACATGGACATACCTACATATATATACACCACATATACATATCCACTGTACACATACACCACACAGACATACTACACAGATACACATATGCACACATACACCACACAGACATACTACACAGACACGCACACATACACCACATACACGTACACAGAAATCATAATGTAAAGGTCATGGGGAGGGTGTAAGGACGGCACAAAGGTCACCCGATGTCTGGAACTTGCTGACATTTCTCCTATTGCCCCTCGCCATCTGCATACTTGCCTTCAAAGCCATCGAGCGTAGAGTACACGCATTGTAGCACGCGCCTCTCCATACCTCCATCCGTGTTTCCTAAGAATGACGATTGTTTTCGGTACTGGAGACTGACCGGTGCTGCCGGTGACTCTTCCCATCTCACAGACGTGGAAACAGAGGCACGGGAAGCCACTCACCCAAGGACCCCCAGCTCTCTTATGGCGCTGTCCCTGACTCCACACGCCCCACGCCTGTAGCCTTAGAATGCTCACTCTCACACAGCGTTAACCTCTCTTTCCTCCTGTGTTCTTTCCTCTTGAAGCTCTTTCCCTTCGGTCTTCACCTTCTGCGTGACCTCCGCTCTGCTCCGCTCCGCTCTGCCTCCCGCCTCCTGGAGCTTCACCTGTCATCTGCTCTTTCAAGCGTGTGGAGAGGACTCCTGGGCATGTTCTCCTAGCACCCACCATGCCACACTGGGATGCCCTGAGGCCGTGTCCAGATCCCTCCTCCCTGCCCTGCCCTGTGTGCTCTAGAAGGACATACATTTAGCTGTGGCCATGTGAGGTGGTTGACTAGACCGGCGCCGCTGTCCTTATGGGATAGCCTGTGTGTGAGCACTTGGGGCTGGCCAAACCCGGGGTCTTTGATCCTCTTCTTCCTTAGGAAGTTGAGGAGGGTTCACCCCAGTTCGCCCTACAATCTGAACCAAAAAAAAATTGGGATGTAGGAAAGGAAGTTCCTTTTCTTTGGTCCTTCTGAGAGCAAATACGGGACCAGCGAGATGGGGCCAGCGAGATGGGGCCAGCGGGGAAGGGTGCTTACGGTACCCAGTCTTTCCCAACGAGCCATCTCTCTAGCCCCCGATTATGAAACATTTCAAAAGCTTCTGCTTCTGTCACAGGTTTCCAATATCCCATCTGCCAGACCTGGTTTCAGAATGGGAAGGCCGTGCCTGGTCACACACCCCTAGTTCCATTTCTATTGCTGTGATAAAAACACCACGACAAAAAGCAGATGAAGGGGAGGCTTTATTTGGCCTGTAGTTCCAGGTCACCATCCATTGTTGTGGGGAAGTCGAGGCAGGGACAAGCATCCTGTCCACAGTCAGGAGCAGAGAAAGGACCGCACCTACGCTGCCTGCTTGCTTAGCACCCAGATGGATTTCTCTGCTCTTCCACTGTCCAGAGCCAAGACTATAAAATGGTGCACCCACATTCAGGGTGGGTCCTCCCCACCTCAATGAACTCAATGAAGACAACCCTTCCCCCTCTAGACCAACTTGATCTGGACAGTTCCTGGCTGACACTCTCTTCCCGGGTGATTCTATGTTGTGTCAAGTTAATAACTGAAACCAGTGAGCACGCTGAGGGCCACAGAGATGGCCAGCAGTTAAGACCACTTGCTGCTCTTGCAGAGGATCTGAGTTTGGTTCCCGGCACCTATATTAGACAGCTCGCAATGACCTGTGACTCCAGTTCTGGGGGATTGGACATCCTCTTCTGGCCTTCACAGGCACCTGCACACATGTGACATAAACCATGTAGACACACACACACACACACACACACGTACACACACACACACACACACACACGTACACATTAACACACACACACGTGTACACACACACAGACACATTAATACACACATACACACGCGCGTGCGCACACACACGTACACATTAACACACATACACGCGCGCGCTCGCACACACGTACACACACACATTAACACATACATACACGCGCGTGTGCACACACGCGCACACACACGCGCACGCATACACGTACACATTAACACACACATACACACGCGAGCACGCACACACACACATGGTATGGACTTAGTGCGAAGTGAGGAGGTACCAGGCCCATCTTCGCAGTCTGCAACGGTGTAGAATGTTGAATACGTTGAATACAGCTCAAACGCCCACCTCTTTGCATCTCCTCTCCTGGGCCAAGGGAAAGACGAGGCCTCGTATGAGCGGTAGTGGGACTTTGGTGTTATAGGAACCAGTGATCTTCAAAGATGTAGCTGTGTACTTCAGCCAGAAAGAGTGGCAGCTACTGGAGCCTGCTCAGAAGGACCTGTACAGGGATGTGATGCTGGAGAACTACGAGAACCTGATCTCTGTGGGTAAGGATCATCTTGCGGTTTGTTCTGGGTTCAGGAGAGCCTGTGGGTCTCAATTCTGAGAGGCTGTGGTTCCTACGGGTGAACTCCGCCGTCGGACTAAATTCAGATATTGCAAATTGGATGCTCTTGGCACCATCTGAAGATGGGTGATTTTCAACAATCCTCCACTTCAGAGGTTCAGTGTGTAACTCATCTGCAGAGAGAGAGGAAAAAGACCAGGTGGAATGTGTTGGGAGTCAATACCGCTCCTCTCACCCCCGACTCTTCACCAGTCTTAAGATGATTGGTCTGGCTTAAGTCACAGGAGCACAGTTAAGCCAATCCTGATGGCCAGTGGGTCCAAGCATGGGCGGATTGGCTAATATGGAAGTGCGCTCAGTTTCCTGGATTAACAGAAATTTGAGCTGCTGTGATGGGGAGATGGGGCAGGACAAGTCGAAGGAGGCGATTGCCTCCATGTTCCCACTGGCTGTTCTTTGCGTAAAATCTCTTAGCTCTCCCCTTTCTGTGCAGACATTTGTCTAGAAAGGAATTCCTGAGAGGCGTGCAACAGTTGTTTTGTTTTGTTTTGTTCTGTTTTGTTTCGTTTTGTTTTCTTCTCCTGTGGAACAGAGTATTACATTTTCAAACCACGGTTGATCACCAGGTTGGAACATGGTGTTGACCTTTTTGCTGAAGAGAACAGTGTTCCCAGAGAACGCCAGCAGCAGCGCGAGGCAGGAGGCAGCAGAAGCGACACCTCTGCAGGTGAGTCAAAAATACACAGAGACGGTTTTCATGAAGGCAGTATCTTAGCATACACAAGTGGGGTGAGGGGGAGACGCTGTCTTGCTATATAGCCTAGCCTGGACTTGTTCTTAGAATCCCCCTGCCTCAGCTCGGAAGTGCTGGCGTCGTAGGTACACTGTGTCACACTCAGCTATTATATGCAGTGAAGAAGAATTCCAAGTGACAGTAAGTAGTGTTGGTTGAAAAGAACGATCTTGGGATGGTGAGATGGCTCGGGGGTAGGGTAAAGATGCTTGTCCCCAAGGCTGATGGCCTGGGTGCAATCCCCCAGCTCCACGTTGTGAAAGGAAGAAACTATCAACAAGTTGTCCTTTGACCTCCACAGGCATGTGGTGGCATCCACACGCCCACATCCACACTCAAAGACAACAGTCCTGGTGCACACCTTTAATCCCAGCACCCGGGAGGCAGAGGCAGGCAGATGACCTCTATGAGTTGGGGGCCAGCCGGGTCTACATTGTGAGTTGGAGGATAGCCAGGGCTACATAGTGAGATCCTGTCTTAAAACGAAACGAACTGCCAATACTCTTCTTAGTCTAGCTTCTTTTCCCTTATCCTGGTCTTTTCATTTGTTTTTAAATTTTGCATACGCAGGTACAGGCTTCAGGATGACATTTTCTCACATACTTGTTCTTGTCCATTGTCCGACCCTCTCCCCATCTCCCCATGTTCCCCCCAGTAGCTCCCTTTCTGCATTTACAGGCATGTTTTCTATCACCCTCCTTTTCTCTCTCCCATCCTCTTCCTTATAGTTTTTTCCCTCTCTGTGGTCCCCTTTCTAGTTGCATGACCTACACTCACCCCCTCCTAAATATGTGTACACACAAACAGGAAGACTGAAATATAGGCTCTCCATATGGAAGAAAATCTGCAAGTTTTGTCTTCCTGAGTCTGCCTTATTTCTCTTAACATAATAGTTTCCAGTCTTTTGAAATTCATTATCCAACCTGCTTGATACTAAACAGTGCATATTGTAGTGCATATTGTAGCCGTACTTCAGTTGTCCAAGAGCAGACAAAGCTAATTCGCCATGTTAGAAACCAGGGCTGGGGCCATGGGACGGCTCAGCAGGTAAGAGCACTTGCCACAAAGCCTGACAACCTGTGTTGGATAGATCCCAGAACCCATGCAGGGAAAGGAAAGAACCAGTTACTGCAAGGTGGCCTCTGACTTCCACGTGCAAACTGTGGCACACCCCGTACCTCCACCGTCACATGAATTCCAAGAATGTGAAGACAAAGACTAGAAAGAAAATGAGAAAGGGTGGGACGGAAGCTTACCTGCTTCTGGTCGTAATCTTGGTGCTACAGGCATGACTGTACCCAGTCTGTGAACACCAAACAAACAAATATTTTATATTTTATACTTTTATACGTATGTTATATTCTAATTATTAGTAAACCTATTTCATTAAAACAAAACCAGACATGAAACAGATGTTTCTGTTCTAAATCTCCTTCATGGAGCTGGAGAGATGGCTCAGTGATTAAAAGTGTTTACTGTTCTTGCAAGGACCAGAATTCAGTTCCCAGAACCTGTGTCAAGCAACTCACAACTGCCTGTAACTCTAGGTCCAGGGCATTTGATGCCCTCTTGTGGCCTACACAAGCACCTGCACTCGCATGTATATACTCACATATAGACACACACACACACACACACACACACACACACACACACTTCTCTCTCTCTCTCTCTCTGTTTTTATTTAAACTTTTAAATCTCCTTCAGGAAGGAAGACAGTAAATAACTCAAAGACAGAAATCCCAAAGCCAGACACTTCTAAGACAACATCACGGGAGAAGCTGAAGAAAGCAGATCGAGGGGGTGGTTCCAAGAGTTTGAGGGCAGAAAAGCCTTCCAAACGTGATGACAGGCCATCTCAGAACAAGGAGAAGCCATTTCAGAACAAGGAGAAGCCATCTCAGATTAAGGAGAAGCCATCTCAGAACAAGGAGAAGCCATCTCAGAACAAGGAGAAGCCATCTCAGAACCGGGAGAAGCCATCTCAGAACCGGGGGAAGCCATCTCAGAACCGGGAGAAGCCATCTCAGAACAAGGAGAAGCCATCTCCGAACAAGGAGAAGCCGTCTCAGAACAAGGAGAAATGTGGTTCATTTTTGACAAGAGAAGCAGGCAAAGCAGTCACTCCTGGGAATAAAGCGCGTGAATCTGTGACCCCTGGAACATCTTCGAGTCAAACATCAGCAACTACAACACCAAGGAGCGCCCCTCAAGAAAAGTCAACTTTGGGGAAAGCCTCTCATGGAAAAACACAGACGGCCAGCAACTTCACACAGCCCAAGCTTAAGCCTGCGCGACAAGGTAAGAACCACTTTAAATGTAAGGAATGTGGGAAAACCTTCAACCAGACGCTCCACCTCGTGGAGCACGAGAGGATTCACACCGGCGAGAAACCCCACAAGTGTGACACCTGCGGTAAGTCTTTCAGGCACCTCTCGTACTTCCTCACACACTATCGAATTCACACGGGGGTGAGACCTTACAAGTGTAAGGAGTGTGGCAAGGCCTTCAACAGCAGCTCCACGCTCAACAATCACCGCAGGATCCACTCGGGAGAGAAACCCTTCAAATGTGACGAGTGTGGGAAAACCTTCAAGCAGAGCACCAAGCTCACTCGTCACCAACGGATCCACACGGGGGAGAAACCCTACAAGTGTGGCGAGTGTGACAAGTGCTTTGGCCGCAGCTCATCCCTGAGGGAGCACAAGAGGATCCACACAGGAGAGAAGCCGTACCGCTGTCAGGTGTGTGGGAAAAGCTTCCGGGTCAACTCGCACCTTTCGGAGCATCAGCGGCTCCATCTGAAGGTGAAGCCCTACAGGTGTGATAAGTGTGGCAGGCACTTCCGAAACAGCACTTACTTATCAGAACATAAGCAGTCCCATGTGCCCGGGGCCCGAGTGGACTGCCTAGAATGCGGGAAAGTCTTCGCTTGCAAGGTAGCCCTTATCAAGCACCAGAAAAGACATGACGCGGACTCCAGATATCGGTGCAAGGGATGTGGAAAGAGTTTTAGGTGTAAGTCAAGCATCCAACGGCATGAGAGGCTTCATGCTGGGGAGAAGCCTTTTGTGTGCACCAAGTGTGACAAAGCTTTCACTGATAAAACCACATTGAATAATCACTTGAAAATCCACTCTGGAGACAGGCCAGATCCATGTGCCCATTGTGGGAGAACCTTTAAAAAACTGGCTACCCTGCTGCTTCACCAGAAAAAGCATGTTAAAAATAAACCCACCGACAATGTATAAAAGACCTTTAGCCAGAGCTCCCCTCTCTGGGTCTTTGGAACAGAATCGAAATGAGAGAAACTATGTACGTGAACAGTTTCTTCATTTCTTAGTAGTTGTTTTCTTGTAAGCCAGTAGTTGAACGCAAAAGACTGATTTTAACCCTTCCCCTCCTTGGAGCATTTGTGCAATATAAAGAGACTCTGTTGTTGTTATTATTATTCCAACAGACAGGTGCCACTATAAACTGGCACCTATGGACAGAGGCAAAGGACGCTATCAAATATCCTACAATGTACCAAACAGACTGCCTTGCCTTCCAGTAACTAAGAATGACTTGGCCTCTCTCAAGCAAAAGCCATATGGGCATTTGAATTTGAGAAGGAGTCCAGGTAGAGTGTTTTCTGCCAGCCACTACAGTAACCACTAACTAGGTATGGCTGTTCAAATGTCAAGGGATCAACATGAAATAAACATTTAAATGCAATCTCTTGGTTGCAGCATCAACATTTCAAGTCCCCAGTGGGCTGGTAGCTTCTCTGGCCCCTGATGTCATGGTCAGCTAACATTGTCAACACCACAGAAGATTCTATTCAGAACTGGTTTAGATCCCAGTGATCAATAATTATCTCATGGGATGACTCTGAGAAACTAGCTTCGTGATATTGAATTTGTGCCTTTTACAGCGGAATGTAGCATTTTGTACGTTTTGTGAATGTGTTGGAGCCTGTGACGTTTGGAGCACTTTCAGATCTCCAGTGGGTCAGTGCCCCACCCACAGGACTCCTACCTCTGTGTGTTCAGTGGGTTACTGATAACATCACTGATAACTGTGAGCATTTGTGGATCACTATCTACCTATCAAGTATGGTGCTGAACTCTATGTGAATTAGCAGACCTAATTCTCATCAGAGTCCTCTGAGATAAGAACTGTTGTGTACCTAATTTTCTGTTGAGAAAACCAAGGCTTTCCTAAAAGAGTGTTTATCTCTCCTCTCTTCTCTCCAACCCCTCTTTTTTTTAAGTTACAGGACGCCTACCTCCATTGTGCCTCCGGCAGAAGGATCGGTAGGTTGCTAACAGTATTACTGATACATTTGAGTGTTTATTAATGTCTTTCTACCTATCAAGTATGGTGCTGAAATCTTTTCATGAACTATATCAGTTAATCAATCCTATCAGTCATAGGAGATAAGAAGTGTTATGTATATTATGTACCTTATTTTCTTTTTTATCTTTGTTTTTGTTTTTGTTTTTGTTTTTGAGGCAGAGTCTCACTGTATAGCCTAGACTGGTCTCAAACTTGTGACAGTTGTCTTGCCTCGGTCTTTCCAGGGCTGGGATGGCAAGTGTGAGCCACCGAACCTGGCTGAGCTGCTTTGTAAAGATGTGTTGTTTCCAATTTTGCACTTAAAGCAAGACTGCATTGCTAATTTTATATTGCACTCTTTCAAATAGATAAGATTTATTAGAGATTTGCATAAAATATGCCTTTAAAA